CCTGTGCCAGGGCCTGCCCACCCTCCCAGGGAACAATTCCCAATTCCCAATATCCCATCTGTCCCTGCCCTCTGGCAGTGTGACCCCATTCCCTGTGTCCTGTCCCTCCATCCCTTGTCCCCAGTCCCTCTCCAGCTSTCCTGGAGCCCCTTTAGGCCCTGGCAGGGGCTCTGAGCTCTCCCTGGATCCTTCTCCTCTCCAGGTGAGCACYCCCAGCTCTCCCAGCCTGGCTCCAGAGCAGAGSKGCTCCCTCAATCTGCCCAGCTGGGATTTGTCCSCAGCATGGATGCAAGCACCCACCCACAGAGTCTTTTTATTCTTTTTCTCGCTGAACTTGTCCCCAGCTTTCACCACCCATTTCTTGGCAGACCTGAGAAGAGGAAGGACAGGATGGGGGCTCTGGCCAGGAGCTGCCAGCCCTGATCCCTAATTACTGTAAACCATGTGTACCAGGGCCACAGGGACTGGGTGAATGCTCACAGAAATAAAAACCAAAGTTCACAGGAGACTGGAATTGCAGAAGGGAACATCACTTAAGGATGGACATCCACAAAAGAGCTGGAAAGGTTACGGATGAGAGCTTCTGAAAATAAACACGGAGCCACTGACAAAGCTTTGTTTTCTTTTCACCRTGAGTGCAGAGCGAGATGAGAGGAGGAGAACAAAAAGCCAAAGAGGCTCCCATGGCTGAACTTTCCCATGGATTCCTTGCTGGGGGAATGATTTACGCCTTCTCATTGTGCTTTCAAGAACCCGCTCCCAGCTCTTCCCCAAAAGGATATATTAACTTCTCTTCCATTGTGCGCTTTACAAAAAGCTTTTTTTACTCCTCCAAGTGGCTGCCTTTCTTCTGCAAGCTGTGATTGCCCTGACACTTCCGCAGGTTTTTAATATCAAGCACAAAATATTCTCTTGAACGCTAAAGGACAGTGAGACTGTTCCTAGCAGAACGCCGCAGAGCCATAAATTCAGGTGATAAATTCAGATGATGATCACAGCTTTCTCCAGGCCTTTGTATTTGTCATCCAAGAGGTGCAAAGTCTCTCAAAGAGAAACCCTAYGAGGATGCTCCAAACTTAGCCATAGGAGAAAGCTGTCCTCCCCAAAAAGCCAATTTATCATGCTCTGGATGAGTGAGCCCCTTTCCAAGGGAAGTCTCATGATTGAATATCAGCTCCCCAACAGGATTTACTCTTTGGAAATGGAAAACAAAAAATTGCACTGTTGGACTTGATGAGTTGTTGATCTGTCCTTGAGCTTTGGCCRTGGCAAATTTGATTGTTAAAAAAACCCAGCTGCAGTTGAGGACTTGTGCAAAAGAGGTTATAACCAAGAGAAATCACGCAGAAACCCTCCTGCGCCCAGGGAGGAGACTGCAGCCCCTSTCTGGACAATCTGTGCRGGGCTGGGCACTGCCCAGGGCACAAGTTGTGCCTCCTGTGCAGGGGGAGCTCCCTGGGCTCGGTCCCTGCCCGTCCCTCGGGTGCCATGGCTGGGTCCCCCCGGAGCAGAGCCCGGCCCTGCTGGGAGCCCTCCCTGCACCCAGGGACAGCCAGGGCCGAGGGCCCCTCTGGGCTGGGGCTCCTCTGGAGGCTCCCTGAGCCCTTCCTGGGCGCGCTGTCATGTCCCCATCACTGTGACATCACACAGTGTCACGGCCCCACGGTGTCATGGTACCCAGCACTGTGACATCACACGGTGTCACGGCCCCAGCACTGTGACATCACCGTGCCATCCCTATATAAGCCGATCCAGCCCCACAGCTCTCAGTGCCCTCACGATGGACGGCTCCGGAGCCACGAGTGACGGTGCCTTTGTGCCGGTGACTGCACCGGCCCTGCTGCTGCTGCTGCTGCTGGCCACCGTGCCTTCGGGTGGCCATTGGCCACCGGGCAGTGCTGGCTGGCTGTGGGAGAGCCTCCAGCCCTTCCAAGAGGGCATTCCAGAGGCGATCCTGCATCCATCGAGGGGTCTCAGGCCATCAGAGAGACACCGTCCTGCCAGGAGCCTCCGCTGCCTCTGCCTACCCTGCCCGATCCCCCTCTGCTTCAGCCCTCATCCCTCCTTCCCAGAGCCTCCCTCCCCCGGAGACCCTCCCCATCCCTGAGAACCCCAATCCCGGACAGAGCCCCCCATCCTCCCTCGGGGACCCTCCCCATCCCCGAGAACCCCAATCCCGCACAGAGCCCCCCA